CCCATATAAAGACCAAACCAGCTTGCTGCAGCGGTCCGGACAGACACACTGAGCCGACCCATTAAGGGCCTGGAGGGAATCCCACCCTATGTGTGTGTGTTGTGTGTGTGTGTGTGTGTGTGTGTGTGTGTGCGTGCACACGTTGTGGGGACTCCTCTCGTCCAACGACAACCAAATGTTTCACATTTACGAGGAGACAAAAACAAAGTAGTACACTTGTACTACACAACACAAGTACTACACCTCTACCACACAATGCAACCTACACAAGTACTATACAAAACGAGTACTACACTTATACTAGACTAGACATATAAAACGAGTACTACACTTATACTACACAACACAAGTACTAGACATATACTAAACTACCCACATACTACGCTTTTACTACATACTTATACTACACAACACAAGTACTAGACATATACTAAACTACCCACATACTACGCTTTTACTACATACTTATGCTACACAACACAAGTACTAGACATATACTAAACTACCCACATACTACGCTTTTACTACATACTTATGCTACACAACACAAGTACTAGACATATACTAAACTACCCACATACTACGCTTTTACTACATACTTATGCTACACAACACAAGTACTAGACATATACTAAACTACCCACATACTACGCTTTTACTACATACTTATGCTACACAACACAAGTACTAGACATATACTAAACTACCCACATACTACGCTTTTACTACATACTTATGCTACACAACACAAGTACTAGACATATACTAAACTACCCACATACTACGCTTTTACTACATACTTATGCTACACAACACAAGTACTTTTGTTTGCCTCATAATCTTTCAAAATCAAGGGCAGCAAGTTGGTTGTGTGCAGGAGGTTTTCTCAGCGTTCCTCAGGGTTCTGTCCTGGGCCCCCTTACTATTTAGTTTGTAGGTAAATAATCTGAGTTGAGCTCATCATAAAGTAGTTCGAAAAAGATCAACAGTAAATAATTAATATAACGGTTTGAAACTACAGGTCCCATCATGCACTGGGGGATGAAAAGTGTGGCGTTACCATGTAGTCAGTCGTGAGTCTGATTGTGATCGATCTCAATGAACCCGTGAAGGATCACCAGGATCATCACATCACATTATCATTGAACATCACCATTATTTTTGTGGATATTATTATTATCGCTATTATTATTTTTCTTATCCATATTATTAGTATTATGAGCATTATTAGCACTATTATTATCATCAACTTTAGATAGATAGAAAGATATAAACTGTATTAATCCCCAAGGGGGAATAGCAGCAGTAAGTAAAATGAGAAATTAAAAATATACATAATATATACAGAGTGCAGAAGAATAACATAAAATAAAATACCAGAGCAGAACATATTAAGTTAAGTGAAAGGAGTATGTACAGTGGAATATGTATTACATTAAATTAAATTAGAAAATTAAGTTAATGTTGATGTTGGCCTTCCAGTTCAGTCTGTTGTCAATGGAGACATCCAGGTACTTGTACTCCACCACTGTGTCCACTTCCTCACCCAGAACTCTCAATGGTTGTGGAGACGTCGTCCTACTCCTGAAGTCCACCACCATCTCTCTGGTCTTGGCCTTTCAAAGTTAGGTGATTTCTACCGGCCCACTCCACAAAGTCCTCCACTACGGCCCTGTGCTCCTCCCGTCCGTCCCTGATACACCCGACCACTGCAGAGTCCTCAGAGAACTTCTAGTTGTACTGGAAGTCAGTGGTGTACAAGGTGAGCAGGAAGGGAGACAGGACAGTTCCCTGTGGGGCTCCAATATCACTGACCACCACATCAGACAGTCGGTCTGACTGTGAGGTAGTCAGTGATCCAGGAGATGGTGGACGTGTTAACCCCACCCGCAGCTTCTCACTCAGCAGCAGTGGTTGGGTGGTGAATGCGAGTCAAAGAAAGTGATTCTCACAGAGCCACCGGTCGCATCCCGATGCGACTGGGCTCGCTGCAGCAGGTAGGTGATGGCGTCGTCCTCCCCCACACGAGGCTGGTAAGCAAACGGCAGAGGGTCAAGTGATGATTTCACTGATTTCAATGGTGGGCCAAGACCAGCCTCTCCAGTACCTTCGTCACATGGGATGTGAGGGCGACTGGTCGATGGAGTTGACTTCTTTGGTAGACGGACCAGGCACGACGTCTTCCACAGCACCGGGACGTCCTCCAGCTTCAGGCTCAGGTTGAAGAGACGTTGCAGGACTTTAGACAGCTGGGTGGCGCAGGTCTTCAGTACTCTGGGGCTGATGCCATCGGGTCCTTCAGCTTTGCCTTGATGGAGTCTCTCCAGCAGTTGTTCCAGCAGTGCTTGTGCTGCTCATCAGGGAGGACAGGGGAGGAGGTGTTTGGGAGGTGTGATGTGTGGGGGAGACAGCCAGACTTTGAACTAAACCTATTGAAGAAGCAGTTTAGCTCCTTGTCCATTCCAAGGGAGCCCCTCCGGTGGTCTTACTCCAACCTTGAAGCCAGTTATTTGCCTCATCCCAGTCCACACCTCCCTTACGTTGTTCTGCTGGAGTTTGGTCTCCAGCTTCCTCCTGTAAGAGACCTTGCACTCTCCGAGCTTCACCCTCAGGTCTCACTGGACACTCCTGAGCTCCTCGCTGTCTCTTGACCTGAAAGCTGCCTTCTTCTTGTTAAGAAGAGCTTTCAAGTCACTGGTATCCACGGCTTGTTATCAGGAAAGCAGCGTACTGGCTGGGATGGTGGTTTGAATTTGATATATTCAGAGATGTCGTCCGTCATCCTCCCCATGTGGTCCACATAGCCCATCCCAGTCCGTCCCAAAACGTTATTATTATTACTACCATTATTTACCACTACCATGATTGTTCATATCAATATTATTATGACAATTATGGCAATTCATATTATTATTATTGTTATTATCAATTTAATTATTGACATCATAGTTGTTATTACCCTTTTTTCATTTTCATTGGAATTCTTAATCATATATTGTTATTGATATCATTATTCTTTTTATAAATATACGTTTTTCTACATGTTGTACTTTGCGTAGGTCATATAATGGACATGACCTGGACATTCTTTGTTCAGGGATGTTTTCTGATTGGCTACATTTTGATTGCCTGTCATTGGTTCCCTGATTCCGATGGTCTGAACGAAGCATCAATGGAACACTTCAGTGGAACCCTGAGGCCTAGATAGGAGTGTGTGTCTCTGTGTGTGCGCAGGAGTGTGCATGTAAATGTGTGTGTGTGTGTGTGTGTGTCAGAGAGAGAGAGAGTTTCCAGTCTGATTCTCACTCGTTCTTCTCCTTATATGGAGTTTGGATTTCCTTTTCTCTCCGCCAACATCTGTGTGTGTGTGTTTGTGTGTTAACATGTGTGTGTGTGCATGTGTGAAGATATTGTGTGTGTGTGTGTGTTCTGTGTACATGTCAGGAATACCAGATACATACTTAATAAAGTCACACAAGAAGAAGGACTCTGTCTCAGTCAGTTCATCAGTGAAGAAATCAGCGTCACTTTGTTGTAAAAAAATAACGAGTTTCTTCTTTGTGCGCTGAAGGCAGACGCAGGTCAAAGGTCGCTAAGGTCAGAGCCCGTGAGAAGCTCCACGCTTCCTTCACTGCCTCGCAGACCTGAAGGTGATGGACAGCAGAGTGACCATGACGGTGAAGCTGACCGGTAGGTCCCGGCGTGTGTGTGTGTGTGTGTGTGTGTGTGTGTGTGTTAGCTGTGGTATTTCCTGTCACATCTCCAGGGAGACGTCCGAGATGAGATGAGGACAGATTTACTCTGTGTGAGTGTAGCCTCTTCATTTCCTGTGTGTGTGTGTGTGTGTGTGTGTGTGTGTGCGCTCATGTTCTGCTTCTTCTTCTACTCATCTGAGAGCAGTTGCTTAGTTTAAAGTTGTGTGTTAGTGCTGTAGAAGTGAACTATATCTGAACGCTTCACATTATGAACCCAGCAGAGTGTGTGTGTGTGTGTGTGTGTGTGTGTGTGTGTGTGTGCGCTCATGTTCTGCTTCTTCTTCTACTCATCTGAGAGCAGTTGCTTAGTTTAAAGTTGTGTGTTAGTGCTGTAGAAGTGAACTATATCTGAACGCTTCACATTATGAACCCAGCAGAGTGTGTGTGTGTGTGTGTGTGTGTGTGCGTGTGTGTGTGTTACATAACTATTTTCCACGGAGGTTTTTTCTCCTTATAAGCTCTGCTACCTGAAATCAGTTTGTCACCAAACTGCTTCATCACTTTATCAAGGAGCTGCTCTGTCTCACTGATCGATAACCAGTGATCAGCACTCTGCTCCTCCATTGATCCGGTATTGATGAAGGTGCTGTGGGCCCCAGGTTACCCCCCCCCCCATGACGGACAGGAAGTGATGGAGTCGGAGGACTTGCAGCTCCTCAGGAGGAGAACCGCTGCATCCTTCTGATCCAGGAGGTGTTCTTCGAGGACACCGGGACTCACTCATGTCCAGTCTGCAACCAGTACGGAGAGGACCGGAACCAGTCCAGCCTCTACCCATCATGCACTGGGGCACATGATAAAACATGGCACAGAAAGGAGATGTCAAACCCCTGCTGATCAGATCCACCTTCTACACAATCCATCCATCTAAAGGAGGAGTCAAACCCAACGAGGGGCGGAGCGGGGGGGGGGTGAGGGGGGGCAGACCGTCATGAGGATCTTACGAGGCGTTAAAGTGTGGGGACCCCTGTGTTAGACCTTTTCGATGCTGGCGCCTGCTTGAAGATGACTGTCGACCGGACCACCCACACCCCCTAAAAACAATACGAATACTAGTCCTTCTTCTACCCCTCAGGCATCGTGCTGGAGACCTGATCAGGACATTGTACATACATGTAGTATTCAACATACTGACTGAGTAGAAGTAGTACTGTATATATTTAAATATATACTGTATAGTAGGAGTATTAATGGATGTTGAGTGGACAGAAACATGGTGAAATATTCCTCTATGATCTACAGAAGTGAGGATTAAACTAAAAGAGGAACCACTGGTCTCCCCCCATAATCTACCCATAATCTATCCATACTCTATCCATACTCTACCCATACTCTACCCATAATCTACCCATAATCTATCCATACTCTATCCATACTCTACCCATAATCTACCCATACTCTATCCATACTCTACCCATACTCTACCCATACTCTATCCATACTCTACCCATACTCTATCCATACTCTACCCATACTCTATCCATACTCTACCCATACTCTATCCATACTCTACCCATACTCTACCCATACTCTACCCATACTCTACCCATACTCTACCCATACTCTATCCATACTCTACCCATACTCTATCCATACTCTATCCATACTCTACCCATACTCTACCCATACTCTATCCATAATCCATCCTCCACACCCTGTCTCCATTCTAAAGGCTCACTGGAAGTATTTATTAGGAGTCACACGTGTGAGTATCAGTATTGTATAGTGTGTGATGGGCGACGGTGGTGCGTGGAGTAGAGAAGGTGCACCGGGAGCCCCGGTTGCTCCATGTCCCATGTTGATGTGACCCTGAGCAAGACACCCAACCCCTACCTGCTCCCCGGGACAAATGTAAAACCAATGTAACGTAATGCAAAAAGCAATGTGAGACGCTTTGGATAAAAGGTCGTCTAATGACATGTAATGTAATGATGCAGTACGACACAGAGTATAAAGTGAAGTATAAGCTGCCGTTTTTCTGTCTGTCCGGAACAATGTGGGGCACTGGAGGGACAGACAGGACGAGAGGACGGGGAGAAGACGAGGTCAGGTGAGACCTATTTTGTTATAAGCACTTAGCATCATGTCTCTACAGATATTCATGCTCCTCAGAGGACGAGCCCTGATGTTTGAGATCAATGAGACTGTGATTGAGACTGATGTCTCTCTGTCTCCCTGACTCTGTCTCCCAGTCAGGCTGTCTCTCTGTCTCCCTGACTCTGTCTCCCAGTCAGGCTGTCTCTCTGTCTCCATGACTCTGTCTCTCTGTCTCCCTGGCTGTCTGTCTCTCTGTCTCCACAGATTCCCATAAAGCTCCTCTAATCCGTTCATATCATCCAAACCAATCACAGTCAGTATTTCCTCTCCCAGCTGGTTGCACTGTTTACCCTCCGATGTGTGTGTGTGTGTGTGTGTGTGTGTGTCAGTATGCGTGTGCGTGGATTGTGTGTGTGTGTGGGGGGGGTTCAGGCCGTTCTGGGTCTATGCCCATTAAAGGGCAGTCCAGTTACTTGTGATGTAACATGGACATTTAGAGTCGAGGTCCACTTCCTCCAGGCCCCCCTCCCCCCTCAACCCCCCTCAACCCCCCTCTCCCCTCCTCCTCCTCCCCCCACACACACACAGCTGAAGGGGGCGGGGCCTCCAGAGGGGCTTTAACCCGGCTCTGTTTATCACCCCCCCTCTCTCCATCTGTCTCTCTGATCGGCGGTCCAGACCTGCAGCAGCAGCTGGAGGAGGAGGAGGAGGAGCAGCTGGTGGCTCGGTGGTCCTGAGAGGAGGTTCTAGAGAAGGAGGCGTGGAGCAGTGGAGCAGCAGCAGCCGCAGTGTCAGTCGGCGTGAGGCCAACCAGAAGCAGAAGGAGAACCTGCACAAGGAGAAGAAGAAGAAGGGCAACCAGGACGCTCCCCGAGGGCTCCTCAAGCAGCGCGGGCAAGTGGAGCTCCGACAGGAGGAGGCGCATTAGCTCAACTTCTGCACGCTTCTGGCCCGGCGAGCTCCCAGAGAGCAGGAGGAGAGGAGCCCAGCGAGGAGCATCCACGCCCCCCATGGACTTTAAGGCCAACCTCAAAGGCCTCAAGGCCAAGTCGGAGGAGGAGCGCAAGGCCAGCTCCCCCCCGCAGGTCGACTTCCGCGGCGTGTTGGGCAAGAAGGTCGCCGGCGGCAACGGGAGCAAAGAGCCAAAAGGCAAGAAGGCCGAGGACTTTCGCTCCGTCCTCACCAACAAGAAGAAGTCGGGGAGCGGCGAGAAGAACGGGGAGAATAACTGCGTGGACGGGGGGATTAAGGAGCAGGCTGGAGAAGGAGGTAGAGGATGTGGAGGAAAGGCCCCGGAGTTCGTGGAGAAGCTGAGCGACGTGACGGTGCTGGACGGACAGAGGCTCCGGCTGCAGTGCCGCCTCGCCGCCTCCGACGCCGATGTCAGCTGGACGCTGGACGGGAAGCTCATCAAGTCGTCCAAGTTCATCGTGCTCTCCAATGAAGGTCGGAGGTCACACACACACACACAAGCTCAGAGGACTCAGACTCTATTTATAGAAGACATAGACAACAGGAAGTGATCAGATCCCTTTATATCACACACACATTAATACAAACCAACACACACACACATTAATACACTTACGTCAGATGTGTTTCTTTTTTTATTTACTTATTAATCATTTGATTCACTTTAGATTTGTTACTTATAAGCAGATTTAAAGAAGCATGTATTCACACCTCTCAGAAGCTGAATCATTATTATTTTAAACATCATTATTAAATGATTGACGTTTGATTAATCAGTTACCTTGTTAATCTCTTCATCGATCTACTTCCTGGTCCGTGGTTGTGATCTCATGAAGGGTCCCTGAAGGCACCATGTCCATCATGCGTCAGTCTAATCAATAATAATAATACAATAGAGCCTCGAGGTGTAGGGAGGAGGAGAGAATAAAGCCCCACGTTGACCTTTGACCTTGTTTGTTTACACCCCAGGGGCTCAACAATGAATTATAACGATCATTGTTTACATATAACTTTATTTATCATTGACTGTGACAGTGAC